GCATTTACCACTGCATGGTAAATAAATAGCATAAACCACCAATCACGGACTCAGAGTGTTTCATCAATTTTTGAACACCAGACTTCCTTCCAATGACGAAGTATTTCAAGTTTCCACTATATTTTCTCATGACATTGATTTCCCTCAGACATAAAAATCAGCCAACACCAAACATCAAATGTTGAAAAATAATCAAATAACTCCAGGTTTGCTGCAGAAGTACAGTACCTTTCTTTTTTTTTCCCAATACATAAAATGCAAGCATTCAACTTGCTCCTAATCACTGACTCAGTCTTTATGTCAGACCACTATAGCAATTTTCCTTCGATAGTCATTATTTACTTAAACAGATGTGGCAGTGAAAACATTCTCCAGGGAAATCAAATTCTAAGCCACCTGGTGATCACAGTGGTCAACAGTTGCCATTACTGCAACATCTTCACAAAATAACTTCTCTGACAGTTCACCACCAGTTTAAAATATGAAGTGCAACCAACCAGCCCCCAACCACTTATTTACTTAGTGATAAAGCTACAAGGCTGCTTAACAACAAAATTAGAAGAAAAGTTGGTCGGAGACAACAGGTTGGACAACAGATTGGCCATGAGCCAGCAGTGTGTCCTGGTGGCCCAGAAGGCCAATGGGATTTTGGGGTGCATTATGAAGAGCACGGACAGCAGGTCAAGGGAGGTGATCCTCCCCCTCTGCTCTGCCCTCCTAAGGCCACATCCAGAGCACTGTGTCCAGTTCTGGGCTCCCCGGTTCAAAAAAGACAGGGATCTCCTAGAAGGAGCCCAGCACAGGGCCACAAAGATGATAAAGGGCCTGGAGCATCTCCCCTACGAGGAAATGCTGAGTGAACTGGGTCTGTTCAGCCTGCTTTAGCAGGAGGGTTAGACTCGATGATCTCTTCATGTCCCTTCCATCCCTGTGATTCTGTGAGAGGGGGGTATTTCACCTGTTTGATTTCTTTCAATAGCAGGCTCAATGCACATGGAAAAACAACCACCAAGTTAACCACGTACATGTCATACACACAGTAGATACAGTTTTAAAACCACCAGCATTGTCTTCAGAAAGATCAAGTTAAGGTGACAGCTGAGTTGCGCTAACAGAAAAGAGTGAACACAGGTTCACTTCTCAAGTCCACGTAAATGTTGCTCAGAAACACCCCAGCTACTGAGTGACAGCACAGAAACAACACGATTTATGAGAGTGGGGCTCAATCCAAGTTCTGAAGAGAAGGGCATCCTGGTGCCTGCAGTCCTTGGCTTCCATCAGCTTCCCTCCCATTATGCACATTTTAGAATTAATTTGACTCAGTGTCAAGGTTTTAGTGAGTGTATGAAAACTGATCTTTTTCAGCCACATCTGCTTTTTAGTTAATTTTTAAATGGAGAGGGAAAACTATTTATTTAAAAGCATGTGGATTGCCTACTGGTGTTACAATTCAAACAGCAAAGCCTGGAAGAGCAGGTTTCAAAATTAAGCCAGGTAAGCATTACTACAAGCTAAATAAACATTATTTGCCTGGTTTCATCTCCTAGAATAACTGATGTTATCAAAAATACTCACTCCCATTCAAGTACCTGACATAAAAAATGTCAGCTTGTACAAGTATAAAGAACCAAAAGCATGATCTTCCAGTAGTAATGCTTAAAACTGATACATACTACATTTCTGTGTGTACCCTATACATTAAAAAAAAAAAAAAAGACAAAGAAAAAAGTTCTTTACTACTCCAACCAAATGAACTAGTAAATTATTAAGATGGTTTCTGAACTGCTTTACAATGAGCACACCCAAAAACTTCAGTTAGTCTTGGGTACAATACTTTGATCCTGATTTTCTTCCTTAAATTGGCTTTCTATAAGAATTGTTTTTTATAGAGAATTATTCCTTATTAAAAATTATAAAAGAAAAATCTTCAGCAACCCAAAGACTTCTGATTCAAGAAAGTGCATCACCTGGCACGACTTCAAAGTACAGAAAAACGGCATGATGAACAAGGCAGCATTCTTGTAATTTCATGGCAATCCTAAACACAGGAAAAATGCTGTTGCAAAGGTTGCCCAAAGTTCTAAACTAAAACTGATGGAATAACATTTCTTGCACATCCTTAGAGAAGACCTGAGCACAAACCAATATTTCTTTCTCTACTCTACTCAGCCTGCAGTAAGAGTTGTACAGGAAAAGGACACACTTTGCTGTCGGATTAAACGTTTCAAAGCTGCTTTTGCTTACCCTGCAATTGAATAGAACCATTGTTTACTTGGAGTGTGGTTTGGATGAAGCGCAATGGACGGATTCTCACAGAGAGAAACAAGGAAGCGGGAAGAAATAAAAAGGATCATTTTGAAAAGGCATTTTTGCGGCCTCCCACACATAGTGGGATCTAATAACTTCAATGGTGGCTATATCCTATTCCTTGGGAATTAAATTCAATTGAAGACTCCAGTTTACCTGACTTGGCTGTACAACATCAGTCAAAGAATTCCTAAACTGATTCTCTCCCACTTTGTTAAAATCTCAGGGGTATTACAGAATTTAAATCCTCACAGTTCCACTGCACAAGAACATGGTTACTACCAGAGTGAATTCCCATTGTAATATTTGCTCATCTTTTTGGCACTAAGTACTACAAAACACACATGTCGTGTTGAAGCTGTACCTGGCTCTAGGAGTAACTGAAGACGAAAGAGCACATTACACAAGCTGTGTTTGGACATCGCTCTCAGACGTAGGGTTTGGATTTGGGGTGGTGCTGTGTGCAGCCAGGAGCTGGGCTCCATGTTCCTTGTGGGCTTCTTCCAGCTCGGGATATTCTGTTCTATGAACGATGACTTGCACAAGCCATTCAAACCCACAGACCATTATCTATCCTCAGCTTCTTCAGCCTCCCCTGACATCAACTACTCCATCATCAGTGATTGTGAATTTCAGTGCACAATTACAATTCTCAAAACATCACAAGCCCCACTACACGGCGTAACAAAAAAGGTACATCACTCCATAGGGTACTGCCATACACCTATGTTGCCAGCTATAAAACCCATATAAAACCCCAAAGATCTGGGAAAGCTAAGCTAGCTTGCAGAACAAAACCTCACCAGTAAGCCTCTTCAGAGAACCCACTGTGTTTACTGGTTACATGTGCTTGAAGATGAAATCAAATGGTTCCCTCTAAGTTCACTGTGTCATACAGTGATACTTTGAACCTTCCTCTTTCCTCCAGAACGGAGGTCATACAGATGCTGAGTTTATAAGGGCTAGATTTTCAGATGCAAAAGAAACAACAGAAAGCATTTAAACATATTCAGATACAAGGTCAGGGTGATTTCCTTACAATCACCTACAAGGGCATGTCTACCTGTATTTTTTATTCCTGCACTCTATAATAACCGAAGGTCTCTTCCTTGTTAGCTTTTCCATCCTCTCATTTAATTACAACTTAATATAAGTTTTGCCTTAAGCAGAGCGTCAGTGAGGATGAAAAATTTTGCATAAATTCACTTGTCTCCCAGAACTAAGACCAATGTTAAGAAGTAATCATTACATTTGCATGCTTTTTCTCCATTCTCATGATTTGCAATCAAGTTAATTAAAAAAAAAAAAATTAAGAACAAAAACCAAACACAAACAAACATACCAGTTTGTTATGTTTAAAGAGAAAATTGCACATAGCTGATTTTTAGTGACTGCGTAGTCAATTTACTTAAAAACATCAGAAGGTGAAGGGTACTTAGGACTATTTTATAATATAACTGCAAACTACCGTACTTAAATGTAAATTAAGATCTCAGTTAGATAGCAGCTTCCAGATCACCAAATCCTTCTTTAAAACAACTGCAATTTCAGGAATTTCAATAGAAACTTGGAAGACAAGGGGCTTTCAAATTTAACCCACAACACCGTGCAGAAAGCAATCCAAGTAAGACTGAAGCTCTATTCAACGTTACAACAACTTCATCCCCTCTCCTCTGCCTTTCCCATTCATCTTCCTCTGCTTTTACTCTGCAAGCACCAAACAGCTGCATAAAGCAGGAGTTCATGGCACAGAAATACTTTTTTAACAGAACTCAATTTGGATCCAAACTATTTCGGTCACGTGATGATAATGCATAAAGTCCTGGGATCATCCAACTGTGAATAAGAACTTGCACAGAAGTATTCTGTATTTCTCAACACCACCTCCTCCTCATCCAAGCCTGCCCACCCCACCTCCCCTCCCTCACCCCAAGGAGGGTTGCAGTCAGGGTCAGGATCTACCCACAAATGAAGTTTGTGCCAAGTCCTACAGGCCCGAGGCTGACAGGAGCACACCTGCTGCCTGCCAGTTCAGGTGGTTTTAGAAAAAGCAAGCAAACAAACAACGATTTGACACGTTCCTTTCTAAGCAGCAACTAATCCTGTTACCCTCAGGAGAAGCGATATCGAGACTACAGTGGCGTGTATTAGAGACCACCGTGCTTTACTTCATCCTAAGGAAACTAAACACAAATAAATCATTTAAGAAGCTTTTTTTTTCCTTTAAAGTTTTTGGCAACAAATTCTCGGTTGGCACAACTCTGATGTACGAGATTGAATAAACAAACAAACACAAACACGACCCTCATGACTCCCATTTTCTGCCTAATTCCGTGCAGTCTCAGACCCGAGTTTACTGCAAGCTGCTTTAGTAGCCAGCCCAGCACACGCACAAAGGCGGGAACCAGCACCAGCCGAGTTCCCTAACTTCCCCAACTTCTGCCTTCCCTCCCTCCAGAACAAGGCAGAAGCTCAGGGCGGGGTGGCAGCCCGTCCGTAGCTTTTCACACGCACCCGGCGCTCCCAGCAAGGCCTCCCCACGGCGCTCCGGGCGGGTCGCTGCACCCGATCTCGGGCTGCTCGCGGACACGGAGCTGCCACCGCTCCGGACTGCGCTCAGCAACGCGCCCCGCCGCCCCCTCCCCGCTCCGCCGAAGCCCCGTGGCGCGGGGCGGGAGGGCCGCGGCCGGTACCTGTCAGTCTCCAGCGCTCGGGACGCGCCAGGGCCAGCAGCCTCCTGGCCTCGAAGCGCGGCGGCCCGGCGGCGGCTCCCCGTGGCGCCGGCGGCGGTGTCGGCTCGGGGCCGGCGGCGACGCTCAAGGCGCGCGGGGCGCTGCCCGCCGTCCCGGGCGGGAGGAGGAGGCGGCAGCGCGGCGGCGGCGGTCGGGGCAGCGCACCGCACCTGCCGGCCGAAGAACGCGGCGAGGAGCGGAGCCCGGCGGGCCCGCAGGCAGCCCGCGCCCAGGGGGGCGGCACCGCATGGTGCAGCAGCGGCAGCAGCCAGGGCAGGCGCGACGCGTAGCCCGCCATGCGGCCGGCGCGGCGAAGCTCAAGCGGCAGCGGAGCTGCGGCTGCGGCTGCGGCCGGTCCGCGCCGCGCGGCTGTGCGGCAGGAGGAGGCGCCTCAGAGCTGCCGCTGCCGCCGCCCATGAACCGACACCCGGGGCCCCGCGGCCGCCCGGGCAGCGGACGGCGTGCGGCGCACCGATAAGGCTGCGGGCGCGTCCTCCTTTCGCCAGCAGCTTCTGCCGCCGCCCGGCTCTGGGAGGGAGCTGGGGCCGGGTGAAATGGCGGCCGAGCCTGCCTTGCCTTGCCTTGCCTTGCCTTGCCCTGCGGCGGGGTCCCGCCTGAGAGAGCGGCCAGAGGATAAGAAGGAAAGTGGTTCTGCTCCGCTTGCCCAGGACCCTCCTCGGGCACGGCGGCCTGGGGCAGGAGGGCTGCCCCTCTTCACTAGAACATCCCTATGGACAGGCGTCCCATGCCCGTACTGGAAGCTACGGGATCCATACAACGAAGCCTTCAATATCGTTATTTTATTACTGTTTTTGCTTATAGCCGCCGCACCGCGTGGTACCGCCGATCAGCACGCACCGCTCCGGGGAGATGGACCCCGGGAGAGCTCCCGTCCGGGCCCGGCCCGGAGCCTGCGCGGCGCGGAGCGCGAGGCGCTTTTTCACGCCGCTTTTTCTCAACAGGCGCCCGGGTGACGTTTCTGGCGCTCGCGGTCTCCTCGCACAGAAAGGCACGACTAATCGATCCCGAGGAGAGGAGAGGCGGGCTGGACGGGGCGGGGCAGCGGCCGACCTCTCCGAGGCGGGCCGCAATTCTGCCCTGCTCCCCAGTCCTGTGCTGCCTGCCCCCGGGGCGGCCTGGGGCCTGTGTAGTGATGATCTTTCATGTTTCATGAACATCTTTAACAACCTGAGCAATTCTGTGATTCTGCTGCTGTACAGAGCCCCGCTGCCTTCCATGAGCGGGAAATATTGACCTAACTCCCCTAATCACCAGTTTGGAGTGGAACTAGGCCTTTCTAATTCTTCCCCCTCGTGCACATTGCCTTAGGTGATGAGAAGGCACATGCTGACGCCCTTGTCTTGAGGTGAAAACTCGGCTTCCTGAGTACAGGAACAATGTACATCACCTTATAGCAGGAGGGGAAAGGCTCTGAACACTCTTGTTAGCATGATGGAACCCACCACAGCTACCTGACCAGCAAAGTGTGTGGCAGGCTGTGGCCACCAGCCCAAGGGACTGCAGGCCAGAGAGGAAATATGGGGCCAGGGCCTTTCTTACAGCCCCATGGGGCTCTAGGGTGGGGAAATAGGAGATGGGTGACCGGAGGTGATCTCTTGTTATACTGTTGCAGGTAAACACCATGTGCTTGCTCCCAGTATAGACAGAAGCAGTGCTTCAAGTATGTGGATTCTCTTCCTTTGTGTGCTAGCTGCAGCATGAAGGCTGTTGGAGCACTTGGGATGCTTTCTTTAGAGACTTTGGAGAAGTAATTATCAGTTACAGCTAAGTGAGCACCAAACTGAAAAAAAGCACCCTCTGCCACCCACAGCAAGGAGAGCTGATGGGCAAAGGTGACAGGAAGTTTAAAGCTATACTGCATCTATGTTTGAGTCTTAGGCTTCAGTTCTAGAAACATTGTTTAAAACAAAACAAAACAAAACCAGCACAACAAACCCCAAGCTCACAGATGGTTAGTCAGTCATCCTAAGCAGTCACAAAGTATTTTTGCTAGCGGAGTGGAATTGACAGAGGGAAAGAGAGCCTAAAATCTTGTTTATTCTTTTCCAGTTTACCACGTACAGATTGCCCTGCTATTACCTTCAGCAAGAGTGGCAAAAGCAACAGCAGTCCAGCACATAAATCTCCAGCTAAGCTACTCATCAATACAACAACAAAAAAAAAAAAAAAAAAGCAAAAGCTGTGCAAATATGCCTTGGTTCAATGCCAGCAAGGAACTGAAGTTATGATGTTTAAACCCTAAGTACCACAAAGTTGGCTGCACTCACAACTCCAGATCTCAAGATGTCCAAGCTAATAGTTTGAGATGGTTGATTTCTATTTCTGAACTATGTGCAGCTCAGGAAGGATTTGTGTAAGTTCTAAGGAACAAATTATCATCATGTGGCTTCAGCTGTGCTTTCCTGGATGCTGGACAAACAGCCACTCTCCGCATGCAGTCAGCACCAGTTTTTGACTGAGTTTCTTACGGTGTGACTCCAGTTTCAGTTTCTGCACTTACTTGTACCATGGTTTCCTCTCCATTAACTACAGAGCAACACCGACTGTTCCAAAGCTAGGTCTGGGGCTGGCCCAAGGCAGACATCAGAGGCTGTGACTGTGGATATGGTGAATGTTTGGGTGAACAATCCACCCTCTGCACACAGTGGTGGTGGAACAGTAGGAGGAACAACCTTTGGTCTCTGGTTCCTCAGAAGCTTAAAAGATCAGCTGCCTTTTATCTACTTCCCCTCTACCCATCACTTACAGGAATTTGCTGGGACACATGTTGACCCCAACCTCTGGATGCATCAGTGAGAGCAGTGCTGTGCCACTGAGCAGAAATAGCAAGCACTATGGCTCTTGTCTAGGCAACTTGCTTAAGTGAGAAAGAAAAAAAGGAAGAGTCTGAAGTAAAGCTTTCCAAATTAAGTTTGGAGGGCTCAGGATATCCCCTGAATACCCCAAAGAATGCCACAAATCAAAGGCTTCTCTCAGCTGTAAACCAGGCACGTTACAGCCCATCCGTGTTAAACAATTTTAAGCCATTGGAAGAAAACAAAATACACTGTATTGCTTTAATCAAATGTATAAGAAAGAACAAGGCTTGATTATTTCAGCAAGCTGCCTGACCAGCCCTGCTACACACCAAAGCTGCTGGAATTGGCACTGCATGATGTGCAGTGGGCACAGAAGCACCACTGCTAGGTGGAGACAAGAAGTGATGGTAAAGAAACAGGAATGGACACCATGATGGTGCAAGTTTTGTTCCCTGCTGTCTTCCCATTCTCAAGAGCTGTAGTGACACTTGTATACTCTCTTCTCCTTTGACAGGGATAGAGGAATTCAGGGTTCCTCCCTTCCATTAGAAAAGTGCTGCCCATGGCCTTGTTGAGTCCTGGGGAAGAGGCCAGCTGAGGTCAGTAGTGGCATGCTGGGCTCTCCTCCACAAAGCAGTTTCTCAGAGACCAGCTTCCCATAAAATTTGAGATCTACAGCAGGTAAAGGGCACAGAGAAAAGAGAGCCTGGGTCTCCCCACTCATACATGCAAAACCTTGATAGTAATTCCAAAAACATCACAGTACTGTGAAAAAGTGAGGCAGTATTGCCTATTTGAAAGATAGTGTGAATTAGCCCATTCTTGTTTTCTTCTTGTTTTCTCTCCAATTCAATCCTGAAGCACACTGACAATGTGAGCTATTACATTCACCCCGCTGAGTTCTGCTCTTGGGAACCATTGTAACCAATATGCTTATGCAGCACCAAGCATCATAAAGCCCTGTTCTTAGTTGATGTCCCAGCTGTACATGCTAAACGGAGTTTTGTCACCAGAATTCTTATAAATGGAGGCTCAATGACTTCACAGAAGATTACAAACCCACAGAAAGATAAGACAATTTTACTTCAAACTGAACCGTGAAGATCTAAACCAGACAAGAAAGCAGGGCTGCTGAAAACGAAAGTCTTCCTTGTCTAACTCTCAGCTTAAATGCAGCGTGGTGCGCATTGTTGAGTTATTTCAGTCAGTCTTGGCTCCTACCCAGTACTTAAAAAAAAATAATATAAATCATAGCTAACGTGCAGCATGATGGGATAGTCTTTGGCTAGGGACATTCAGGCTGTTAATTTAACTGTCACATCAGTGTCCTGTAATAGTACAGTTTTAGAGGCTGGCTCACTGCAAACAACTCGACACCACTCACAAGGAAAGCCATTTCAGGATTTAGCTGTAGAACATACTGAGCCTGGAGGACTAAGTCAGAAGCAGTTAAAACAAGGTTAGCAGAATCGCTTGAAGCCCTCTCTCATTTTTCTTGGCAAACCCAGAGGATCTGTTAATAGAAATATCATTTTGGCAAAATGTCCTTAGACTCAAAAGGCATTTATCAGACAGCTTATTAACAAAGGAAGCTGAATGGGGAGAAATGCAATGAATTTCTCTGTTAGGGAGGCTAAAACTTCTGAACGGTGTGCCAGCATGCTAATCAGGAGATGCAACTGTTAAAAATGGGAAGGGCAACTCTAACAGAGCTGTGAATGGGCACAGCACTTCGTTTACCAGAGCAAATACCCTTTTCCTTCATCAGCAGTGACTAAGCATGGACTTGTACCTCAGCTTTGTCTATATTTATTGTGGCCTGGACTACCTGACACCACTGTCAATAGCCTTTATTAGTTCAAAGGGCTAGTGAATAGAATGAAAACATCAATCAACAGATGTAAAAAAAACAAACAGGGAAATAAATTGAGCCACCATCTGATACTGCACAGCACCTCATGCACCATCCAGGCCACAAATCTTACACAGGCTCGCAAGCAGCAGCAGTCCCTGCTATTTAACATTTGAGCACTTAACTGTGCTAGCTTAAGTGTCTTAATGTGTTCTACCATATATTTAAAACGGAATAAGGAAGGGGTCTTTGCAAATGCACTTGAGATACACAGCTAACAAATTACTATCCAAATTCTGCCAGACTTAACAGTACTTCTTCCTTCCACTCATACTTCCCTTCCAGTTCTGCCCTGAAATTCATGCTGTCTATCAGTTGCAAACATTTCTTACAGTCTAGATTTTTTCCTGGCTTTCTAGCCTCAAAGATTTGCATTTTGTGAGCACCAAAACAAACACTATCCACACAGTACCCCAAAGTTGATGGTTTTGAAGCACCTTGTTAGTGGTATCATTTTATTAACGCCTTAGAAAGACAGTTTTGCTTCTTTTGCATATACAATGATTATCTTTCTAAGCATCTTTACCTGCATATCTCTTTTGTAGGGAAAATACTTAGAATAACCCA